TACATTATAGAAAATAGTGACATATACCTACACAAGTAAAAGACGAAATGGTTTGAAGAAATTGTAAAAAGAAGTTTTGTCTACTGACCTACATTATAATATCTTTGTTATGTTTTGTATTAATTTTGGCCACACACACACATTTTAGTGAATAGTGATTTCACGGAAAATATTACCGTGACTTGTGTCTTTTAAACGAAGAGATGCATTTAACAGAGGATAATATGTATAATAGTGTAATCTCAAATCTTTAATGTCTAAAAAGTAAATTGATGGGTATACAAAATGAATTCAATAAAATACAGGTAGATTCCAAATTAATAGAACGTTGTAGTTTTTGTGTTTAATACATATTGCCATGAAATAATTTTGATTTTAAATTATAAACATAAAGTCGGTTAGATAACATATCGCCATAACTTAAATACTCAGCATCTATACCTACGTTCAATAAGAAAAATCAAGCATTATTTGGTGAAATTTTTTTAGGTAAAACTACATATTTTCTCGGGCTGATTGGTGATTGATAAATATGTATTCGATTACATATATTTTATGAATGATTACGTCAGTTCTGAATAATCTACGAAGGTCGTTTTATAGAGATTTCGAATCATTACAACAACTTACGATACTTTTTAAAGCGTATATAAATAATATTATACATTTGTATACCTAACATATTATTATAAACATTGTACAATCATTAATAGTTATATGGTACATTTATTATATTTATTTCATACGCAAATACCGTATACATATGTGTGTATATAACATAATAAAATATGTATCTACTTATGTGCTTATTTGTTTTTTCGAACTAACGCATAAAAATCCGACAAAATAATATATTGTGTTGAGATAGAGATCATTTTCAGTTATGCGTTTTATATCTTTCGTGATTTCCATTTGATTGACTTTACGATGTACACATTTACTACAGGACTAGTTAGTCTATTTCCGTTAATATTTTTACCTGTTATAAAATTACTATAGACTCGAATAAATAGTAATAAATGGTCATATAGTATGTGATCGATACAAAACATACCGACACAGGTGGTATTTCTATAACGATTTCTGTCGAATACAATTTGACCTCGAGATAAAGCTGGGTTTTTCAAATGTTTGAGTATAATATTGTCTGAATCTATTTTTTAAGCTATATAATTAACCTTTTAAAATAATAATAATTGTGAACAAAAAATTATCTATTTTTAGCATATCCGCTGCAAAACCTTGTATACCGATAACTTGAGACAAAAACCAATTTCTACTTATCAAAAGTCCGCATATAATGTATGGGTTTGAACGTCTTCGTACATAAATTAATGAGGATATAGTGTGTATTCACAGAAGTAAAAGAACAAAGTAATTAAACATTTAATTTAAAAGCATGTATCCATTATTGATAGAGTCTATGAATTAAAGTTGATCGCAAATACTGAAATACTAGCCCATAATACATATTTTATTAGTTTGTAGGCAAACATGTACTGAAACCACATTATCATACAGATGGCCATAATATATAGTAAAACCAACGTAAACATTTTCTTAACACAAATCATAGAGGTAGACGATTAGATAAAAAATGAATCGCAATATTTCAACCCCTCCTAAACGAGAAGAAAAAAATTGACAGTGAAAATGATAAAATATACGATTTTCCTACACGGGTTTCTACAAAATAATACACTCAAATCTGATAAATACGATAAATATTACGTAATCTCTAAAATGTGCTTTTATATGGGAAATACATTTTTTTCCTACGAACTCGCCATGTTTAACAAATCGCGCACATTTTTCACCACTGAAAGCTACATATACTCGGTTAATTTATTATATTATATTATGTAAAGGGATACAAATCTGAACTTGGTTGGTGACAGATTTTTATTAAATTTAATAAAGATAAACATCACTACATTAGTTGAAGTGTCTAGTAGTGAAATATTTGCTGACAGTATTTCGAAGATGAATTGGATCTTAAGAAGAAAATATCATATATACATATCAAACGTATACCAAATCAATAAATTACCAAGAAAAATCTAAATAACTATAAAAAAGCGAAGTTAATCGCATCAAACTGCATAACAGATTAACATTAAAAATACAAAAATTAACCATACATAGATATCTCTCAATATCGTGAAATTAAATATTTAAATGTTGGGCATATTTTACTGTATTTTATTAATCGACCTATTATTTTGTCACATGGATAATGATTATTTTAATTATTTTCGATTTTAAAGATTCCAAAATATGATTATTATTGGTTCATTTTTTACTATCTAAATCTCTGAATTTTGTATAAGTACATTGGCAGGCATAAATGTATAATGCTATGTTGTTTATTTAATATCATTTTTCTCCTTCCTACAAAATAAATGGTTTAGGTTTCTGTTTCGTTATCTTTTTTACCCTTTCACTTACGTTCACTTTCTTTCAATCGTTTAGTTTTGTACCGTCTTCCGTTATCGAATGACGTATATTACATATTTTTATCAAATATACGAGCATTACATACTTCTTAACAATGTGCAAATATATTAGGCATGGTTAGAGTTTCATATTCAAATTTAAATCTTACAGTTCTGTCAAATCGTTAGATTTTTGTTTAACAATAAATTGTTTGTTATGTTTAAATATGATGCAGTATTTTACATTAATGTAACAATGAAGACATAATTCACAAATAATTTACTATGGTATAGCTAACGAGCACTTAAAATAAATACATTTATATGTTATGATGAAAAGGTACATTTATTCGAATCAAATAAACACATTCAAGTTGAAATTTATAGGTTAAGACACTTTTTACGAGATCTGACCTTCAGGAGTGTATAGTAAATATTATAACTGCCCAAACGAAGACCTATTTTTAAGACTAAACTACTGATCACAGCTAACTGGAAAATTTTAATTAAAACTTTTAAAAGTTAAAATAGACGTAATACGTCTAATAATTAAACTATTGAACTATTCGTTACAATATTGTAAGTTTAGCAGTATTTATCAAAATAATAATTATATACACTATAACGTTATAAATATTATATTAAGGTAACTATTAACTTACTGTGGGTAGGTACTAAAATAAATCTTATGGGGTTATGTATATTTTAAGTATGGTTTAATTGAGATTAATTATTCAAAGGTTGTAAAATGAAAATCTCAAATAATACATAGTCAACGAAAACTGATAAGAAAAATCTAAAATTCATTTTTTCGCTTAATTATATATTTTTATAATAAAAGAAAATTCCATATAAAAGTCATGTACGATTTTACTATTGTTGTTCAACGTTTTCATCGTTACAAATTGACCTTGACACAAATAAGTAGTCAATCAGCTTCCGGTGATGGGTATAATAAAATGTAGCAATAGATTGTCAACTGAAAAGTTGGATTTATTACGTCTTTTATCAACATTTGGACTGTTCAAATTCTCATTAAAGCCATTGGTATGTTTCAGACGCTACATGTTTGACTATGTGCATAATGGGCTTATTATTTTGCATCGCTATAGTTTGCCAAAAAATAACATAATAGAATAATATTATTATGCATGCGAATGAAAGTCGTAGATGACTGAATAGTTTAATGCGACGTCGAGAGCTGATAGAATATTAATATTATATTATTGCATAAATAAAACATCGGATTATTTTATTTTTACAAATGTTACCATAGGTACCTATTTTAGTAGGTAACCTACCTATAACATACGAAACAAAAAAATTGAAAAAACAACATTGAGCCGTAGAATTACTAGTGTAGGCAATTTTACATGGCGACGTGTAATGGTAATTATCTAGACGCGCGGTGTATTTTTATTTTTTATTTTTTCGTTTCCGAACCTCCGATCGCATTCGATCGGGGCACACGAAACGCGCGAACTGTAAGACACTAACGTCGTAGGGCTTAAAATTGAAAACGCTGTTTTTCCTACATTATAATGTAATATTATTTAATTGCTACGAGTGTGACGTATGTAATACGCACGTAAGAAACGCGCGACGCATTATTATCTATTATTATAATGATTATTATTGTTAATCGACGTGTTCAGCACACGCTAAAAAACACGGTATTTATAAAAAACGATCAGGTCTCACGGCCGACACCCCGAAACCAGCTTTCCCGATGGCCGGCGCTCTTGCCGGAGACTGCATCAGTGGCGGTGGGAGCGCTCGTCGTCCGTGGCGTAACAAACCGGTATCCGCGGTGGTTGTCCCGCTTTGCCGGCCGCCACTGGCTATACTCGAGCGGCAGCCGCTGCCACCGTCGATTTCTTCTTCGGTTGCGTAACCACGGTTAGGTTATAGCCACTGCACGGTCGTAACATTGCGTGTGAAACGGAAAGAAAGAAGAAAAAATCTACCTAATTCACGTAAAAAAATATTAATCCACCGTTCACGGCTGCTGTGCGGCCGATAACCACAGCGGTTGGAAAATACTAAACTATAAGGGACACGTCATCATAACTGCTATGATATTATTTCGGATAATAGTATGTTTACGACCTCTAATGTCACAGCGAAGATCTCGAACCAGTGACTGTCATTCGACGACAATCGTACAGAAAAAAAATTATCTGTAGGCCGACACGATAAGACTGCAGTCAGAGACTGGAGGGCGGTGTCGGTCCAGTTACTGTATACAGTTCTTCTAATCAATTTAATTGCACCTACGCGTATAATATTGCGCTGTGTCGAATTTGAGGGACCGTTGAGGCCCCTCTCCGCCGGCACTCGCATACCACTGACAACGCGTAGACTTGAACGATCGGCGACGACTCGGTAAAAGCGCGCTTGTCTCAAAGGCTTCCTTTACGATCGCGGCACACTGTGACACACAGTCGTAAGGGTATACCTGATGACTAGACCTGTCGTTATTTCCCCAACCAACCCAATACGTGGGGTACACTTTTAGGGGCTGTTTGTGGTGTTGCAGACGGAGTGAAGTGTTGTTGTACTCACAGGCTTGAGCTCCAGCTGAACATCCTCCGTATCTTATCCTTGTCATCCATGTCGTCGTCGTCGTTTTCGTCGTATACGTGTGGCGAACCTTAGCGACTCGCGTGTCGACCACAAATTATCTTTTATATTACGTATAGAAGAGATAAGAGAAAAACCGAAAATACCGAAAGAAAATTTAAAAAAAAAAAAAAAAACCAGGAGAATACCGAATTACTGCAATAACGTTTAAACGTCGCGTGCGGACGTGTTTCCGACGTTATATTATTATTATTATATTATAATTATTGTGTTGTTTTACGTTTCGACGCGAACGCACACTGCATTCACGCTCACACTGCACGAGTCACCGACGCGACGGTAGTGAAACGATTGTGCAGACTTGGCCACCTCCACCTCCACCGCCGCCGCTGCCACCGTCCACAGGTTGGTGCCGGAAGAATAATATATAATGCTATAATACATATATGAGAGGCGCTACGAGTTTGGCGAACGCTTATTATTCGCACGCGTAATAATATTTATCGGTGTGTGTGTGTGTGTGTGTGTGTGTGTGTGTGTGTGTGTACGTGTGTGTAAGATGTTGTGTATTTTGTGACTGTGTGTTTGTGTGCGTGTGTGTGTGCGTGTGTAGGTCTCGAGCGAGCTCGTTTTCACTCTTCGTGGTGGGACCGTCCTCCGTCCATCGGGTACGTGCGCGCGCGCGCTCGCCCAGGAAGGTCGACCGGGTGTACCGGTTCACGTGCGACATTCCTACGACGACATTCGACGATGGTCCTACATAATAGTAATAGTAATAACTAATAATAATAATAATAATGGTGTACCGGTTCACGTGCGACATTCCTACGACGACATTCGACGATGGTCCTACATAATAGTAATAGTAATAACTAATAATAATAATAATAATAATAATAATAATAATAATAGTAATAATAATAGTAGTGATAGTAATAATAATAACGCGCGTTCGCTTTTTTTTTTATTTCATTCTTTCTCTTTTATCACAAACGACTTAACACCATCGAAGTCGTAACATCCGATATCCGAGCTGTACGCGTTAGAATGTTTCGTATAATGTGAGTCTTTATGCACAGTATACCTATCTAATATTGTTATAATATCGCAGGTCCGTCTTTGCCCATACGCGGTCTCCGGCCACTGTTGCGGGGATCGGGTAGTTAATAATATTGTATCACATTCAATGATACAAACAGGTTTGGAATAATAATTACAGTACTTATTAACAATAATATTATTATGTATTAAGAACAACAAAATGATTACAAGTTTAAAATAAAATACCAACAAGAATCAAAATATTCGGAGGTTCTGGCGACTGCAGGTAAGCATAAAATATTATTATATTCTACACCCTTTTTAGACTGGTCTTATGTTGGTGACCTATGCGTTGTCGTAGTGTAGATAAAAATTATTGCGCATGTACGGAACTCGGTAATATTTTAAGAATATTTTATCGGAAAATAGTTAAATTCGTTACCTTGCAAATTTAATGATTTTATTCACCTTGTAAGGTAAAACATAAATATTGTTTAATACAAATTGTTATATAACTATTAATACCTATTTTAGAGTAGTTGTCTTACCTACTTTTCTATGTAATTCCGTGTCAATATATTGAAATGGTATGGTTGACGAATGATTATTGCGGACAAAATTCTCTGACCTTCCGCCAGATAAAAAGTCGTACCGACAAGAGATGGTATTTTACTCTATATTTGTTAGGTGCTTAAAATTTAAGCAATGAGTACACTTAAGTGCTTACGTAATTTAAATATAAAAATATAACTATAAGTTATAACACGTATTTTTACATCTAAAAATTCATTTTAATAATTTGCGCCACGACAGGGAAGGAATAATATGTAATCTGAGCCACACTTTCAACTTCATTTATTGAAAATATGGTACACATAGTTGTAATTGTTAATGATCATAACGATTAACGGACATATCTTGTGCACTAACCACCTTAGTGATCAACCAAGTATAGACAGAAAAATGTATTTAAATATAGAAAAGCTTTGGAAAATCTGTATATACTAAACCAAGTAAGATATTAAGAACAGAAATTTTTGTTAATTTTTACTTATTTCTTATATTATATGTAGTAGCTATAGATACTAAATGACCCAAACTACAATTTTTTAGGTACAGCTGATGGCACTGATTACATAGTTACCACAGATGTAGATACGACAATAAGACGTCATCTGCTTTGTGATATAGACCCAATGCGTGCTTGACCAAATTTCGAGGCACGTCAAATAAAATCTCAAGACCGACGAGAATAATATTATAGATTCTATTAAACCTTCAACGCTCTACGCTTTTTAATGAAAATAATCAAACCACTGTCCACTCCTGTTCATATCGATCAATAATCTTAATTTCTATACTGTAACTACACTAATAATATCTACGGACGAAATAGTTTCATATTTTTGATTACAATCAAAATAAACCAAGGTATGCGCATAACCGATTAGGTATATAAAAAACATTCGGATATAGGATACCATCGTGACCAAATGCGGTAAGTGGCATGTTTAATGTTTATATTATGGTTTGAATCACCTCGACACAAGACAGTGGTGTATTATTTATTAGCAATTTAATCTTAACGAACAAATGTTGATTGTGGTGGTTAAAAAACCGACCCTGAGGGGAACTCTAAGAAAAAGTTTAGAGTTAATGGTACAAATTATTAATAATTAATAGATTTAAATATTTATTGCACATAAACTTATATGGAAATATGTGGTAGTTAGGTATGTCAAGTTTTCTTCTCGTATTATCCAATCTTAAAAATTTGAATCTAAAATGATATTGTTATCAAAAAATAAGAGACATGAAATTAAAAAAAAAAAATCACAATTATTGAAACCTTAAATTTCTAACGAAAAAATGTTGAAAAACAAATTTTGAAATGTGATAAATATTATGAAAACTATGTATTTATATCCAATAACAGCATTCGGATATAGCCTTGTACCACTCCTAAAATACCGTCCTCACCCTCACTTCATTCAAGATCATAAATCGGTGTTAGGTATTTAATTAAATCTATATAATAATATACAGTAATTATTGTCAAATTTCTCTATTAACATCCAAGAGTCGCAAATCGCGTATTAATCGCAATAGAAAAACTTTGACATAAACTTCTATGTGTAGGTACGTACCTCGCGAAATATTTAAGTGATTGAAAAATTCCTATTTTAGTGTTACTTAACTATTGAATAATCTACAAAATTAAAACTATGTTGCGGCGAATACTATCCATCGTTAACTCAGTATTTACTAGAGGCTCATAACCGTTTTCCTCCAAAGGGATACCCGCTTTCAAAGGTTAGGTATTCCAAATTCCGGCAATAAAAACTAACCAAGTAACTGTTTCCGGCAATGATGACATAATAATAATGATCCGGGACACAAGAAATTCTCAAAATATTACTAAAATAATAAAAAATTGTATGGAAATCGGAATATTATAACTTAAGGCGGAAAACGGAAACCCTCAACTAGAGAACTAAAAGCAGTTCATTTAATAATATATTTCAAATATCGTTATTGTAATTTGATTGAATTTTACACTTGTTTATTAAATCATGATCTTATTAAAAATTATAAGCCAGAGATAATATGTAAATATTACATCTACATAAGTATCTATTTGGTTGTAAATTTTCCTTTTTACAAAATGTATAGATAATTATTAAAGTTGTAGGTACCTAACCTAACCTATCTGTATTAATCACATTAAAATAAAGCATCTCTGCAGGGTCAGCTATTACATGTAGTCGCAATGCAACATGTGAATTTTGTAATAATATATTATCCTTATTAAGTCAGCTACTATTAAAATCATTCGGATTTCATAGTTGCCAAAAACATTTGCGGGTAAAAAAAAAAAATATTTAACTACTAATATAATATTATAATATTGCATCACAATTTAATTAATTTACATATTGTAATCGTTAAAATGTTTGTATCTGCGTCAGTGTAATTACGACGAATCATAATATAACAGAATAATATTATCGTATTCGGTTCGTGGGCACAAATTGTCATGGAAAATAATCTTCACAAGAAAAACTTTGATGTTTTTTCCCTTACAACCTGTGGGAAATACTAGCGCCCGACCTAGAGGACCAGAGACAACAACGATTCTTTTTCGACTACCGAAAGAGTCCGACCTTATCCAGAAAATATGCCATATACACACGGATTAATCACATTAAATTAAATTAATATAAGCATGTCATGTATCATATTTAAATAAAAAAAGTATAAATCTTTAAAACATAATGTATTTCGGAAACGCCAATAACCTTAGCAGTCGAGGAGTATATTATTATATAGGTAAATATTAAAAAGTAAATATAATAATACTGTCATCTTTTTTTTTTTTTTGTTAAATAAGAGTACAGTTCTGAATAATATCTCAGTGTTTTGAGATTTTCTCGCAGTAATATTAGATGTCAAAGCAAATGTGGGATTACGACTATTTCAGATATGCAATACCCCTGCGATATACCACTTTGATATTGTTGAATTAAATGCGTGACGTGTACTTACTATGCGAATTAAAAACTGCCGTGCTCACACTATATTAAATTTGCATTGAGGAAAAAACAGAACAAACGAAAAACTCGTGTTACTTCATCGTATTGTTTTGAACATTTCGCGAATAAACAATTATACATTTAACACGTAACATGAATAAAATCACAATAATTCACTGTTACAATAATAATATTGTATACTATATTATTATTATTATTATTATTATTATTATTATTGTTGTTATTATTTTATTTTGCCGGTAAAAATTTTTTAGCGCATAGCAATGTGCTAACATGACTAATTTGACTCGTATTCATTCGTTCGGGTTATAATACTATCAGCTATAGTGAACACTAGTTGACTCTTATCGGAGCAATAATATTATAACCATTATTACTATTATTGTAGTTGTATTTTCCGTGCAACAATAGTGAACACTGCAGCAGTGTTGTATGATTCTGTTTTAATAATTATTATTTCTTCGAGATAAACTCCCGCGGGCTACGATTGACCTATTGGCGCTGGACGTATTTACATACCATAATAATATGTGAACGATTTAATTCAGTAATTCGTTTGCGCTCAACGAAAATATTATAATTTATACGCCATAGTTTGACAAATCGTAATAGTAATTAGTATTAATGATCGCGCTTGCGTGACGACAACTAAGCGTTCGCATATATTATTTGCACGCTAGAAACATATAGGTAGGTTACTTGCGATTATTAAGTTTCAAATATTTTTCCCTCTTCCGATTTCGCTACCGAATTTTTTACGTCA